CCCCAAAACCCCAAAACCCCAAAACCCCATGCTGCTATAATATTTGCAATTATAAATTATTACTTAAAAGTATAATAATTAAACAGCAAGATTATAATAAAGTCCCTTGCACAAAAACAGCATCTCATTTTCAATATATATCAAATAATCAGATTAATGACCTTTCGATAGTCAATCCCAACTTTACTTAAGGAGATAGATTAAATCTCTGTCGAACCATATGAGCAAGAATCACTCTATGGGGACATTTTGCAATCAATAAAAGGCTAGAATTTCAAAAATACGAATCTTGGGGAAAGCACCATTCTATTGAATTAAAGTTTCCTCGAAAACCCTCATCTCAAATAGCTAACAGATCTCAGAGCTTTGCTCGATATGGAAATTAGTAAAACAGATTTTTACTTGAAATAGAGTATTTGCGACTAGGAATAAGCAAAAAAGCGAACAGTGTAGATAGCTTTGCGCAACTTTCACAAGTCATTTGTTACAGTTATTGGACAGGAGGAGTATAAAGACATCATCAAGTATACATTTCTTGAAAACTCAGACTATTTGGAAAGTATATTCAAGCCACCTCAAAGTTTTCCTAGTTCGAGAAAGCAAACGGGTAATTAGCCTTCAACTTAGCAAATAGAGCAATAAAATTAAAGCTAGTTTGATCAAGCTAAGATTTACAGTTCTAAAACTGATGGGTCAGACACAGTGATTTACTATGGCAGCTAAATGTCAAATCAAAATTAATAGTAGCTGCAGTAGCATAACAAAATAAAGGAGAAGCTTGGTTAGAATCTGAAAGAAATCCAAGCTAAAATTGGCAAACTCACAGAGAACAATCAAAAGTAGATCTAGCAACTTAAAGATCAAGAAAATACTTCCAAATAACAATTGGCTTAATTAAGATTAGTCTTTAGTGAGAAGTTAAAAGAAATATAGTCCAAAATGCTAGCAAGAGAGTAGTAATATAATGAAAAACTTTAAAGCATAGTCACAAATCTTAATAAACAGTCTGAAATCATTAACAAATACATAGAGTTGCTCTAATCTAATTAAATTCAAGAAAGTCAACTCTTAGATGGCAGTATAAAGATAGAGTTCGCAGACATCGAGAGTTTGCTTATGGAGTTTAGGAAAAAATTCAACAAGGACATTGAATTCATTTTAAACTAAAAGCTTAATCAACTGATGGATGTCAATAATGACGAGATCGCACATAATATCAATATGGATACTAACTCTGCAGATGCAAACAATCCTTACCTGATAGACCAAAACTTTTCAAATCTAAACTCTACCTTATAGTCATAAATTGGAGGAGGAAATTTTTAATCAATAAACAAATCCAATTAGGGGTTGGGATCAGTTTAAAATTAATGAAATAGAATAAACTTCAGCCAAATTATCTGCAATTTAACTCATGATATAATACTTTATCATAATAATCTTAATTTTTTAATTCATAATAATTCAATTAATTAGAAAGCTCGGGGTTTTGGGGTTTTGGGG